GGCTCTTTTGTTAAGAAAACGGGTGCCAAATACGAACAAATTTTTAAAGCTCGAGCCGAACACGAACAACTCTTTGTTCACTCTTGTTCTGCATGCTTTAGCTGAAAATAAATATATATATCGTAATATTTCTTGTGGTAATGTGGTTAGTGTCTTCATTTGGTTCATGTTCGAATCCCTAAACTTAAAATTTGTTTCTTTTTAATTTAATTTTTTCAAGCCAATTTCGAACCGAACACGAACATTAATATTTAAATCGAGCCGAACACGAATACTCTGTTCACGTGCTAGTTTCGAACACTAGCCGATTTCGAACAAGTGTTACTTCGAACGAGCAGAACACGAGCCAAGCGTGAGTTTGCTCAAGCCTCGATATAAGGCTGTAAATTTTTGAGCAAAAACAAATTAGAAGTCGGGACCATTCAAAAATTGTTACCAAACTCAATGTTAAATTGAATTTTTTTAATAAAATGAATCTAACATTATTAAAGTGGCCCAATTCACGGGCAAATAAACATGATTCAATGCTTAAAATGTGATATAAAAAATATTAAGGGGCCTTTACATAGATAGCGGCTAAAATTTTCATATTTACCTAATTTACACCTAATTTTTTATAATTACAAATATTATATGAAAAATGATACTCATTATCACATTTTAATAGTTAAATTCATCTTTTAATCCATAGGTAAAATGTTATGTGTGTAAAAATGATAGTTTAGGTGCATCTATAAGAATTGGGTGTTATTTACATAATTTTTCCAAATATTAGTGATAGGGTCATCTAATATTTGAATCATGCATGCCTACAGTCAAATTAAAGGTTTTGATGAGTGAAATCTAGTGATCCCAAGATTGCTCAATTTTGATAGTAATATGATGCTTCAATATTAATGAATATTTTATGATTACAGAAAACAATGCAGATTGTCTAATGGCGTGTATTCAAATTATTTTAAAGGACAACAAAAAAAAATAATATATATAGAACTAATATTTCATTCTTCTTATGAGTATAAGCAAGACTTCTTACCCTCTCGTTCGGCTCTTTCGCGTCTCTGCCTCTTCGTGCATTTCCCTATGGGGTCCTCTCCTTTCTAACGTCTCTTCCGTAAGGAGTCTTCTCCTCACTCACAGCTCCGTTTGGTTCTTTCGCTCTCTGTCCTTCTACGTTATGCTCGATCATTTCTCTTTACTGTTTTGAGGTTCATTTGGACTATGGCTTTGATTTGTGGCTTTGATCTAGTGTGAAATTGATATTCTACTATTATGACGATGGACTTTTGGGTTTTGATATCATCTACCATTTTTTTTGTTGTTCATGCTCTTTTCTTTACTCAGTTTTTGGTTCAATGTGTTTTGTGACTTGCTGAAATGAAAGAACATGGAATTTGTGACCTCTGGAATGAATAGAATTGGAATTAGCTTATCTCTATGGATTTTTAAGCCCTTGTCATGATATGCTTCGTGACACATACAAGTTCGATATTACTTAGTTTAAAGATAACCAAGAACCATATTTTTAAGGATCTATTGTCTTCTTGTAGTGGCGGATTTCGTTGGTTTATACTTTGTGCTATGAGACCTCATGACTTTATAAATTTTTAATTGTATAGTTTTGTCATTCTTTTTTATTAAGCACCTAAGGTCTGTGCTTTGTAGTTTTGTCATTCTTATTTTACATGATAATTATCTACTTTTAAGTTATATGTATTAGTAAGCATACAATTTTAATTTCATTTCATGAATTAAATTAGATTTTAGTCAAATGTGTTTATTAATATTTGATTTTTGGAATTTGGAAGATCTATTAATTAAAGTAAATCAATCAATATTATTAGATCTTATTTGAAATTGAATAATTTCCCAAAGGTTTAATATTCATTGTAATTAGTACACTCCTAGATTTCTTTATATGAGTTAAATTTAATCTAATTAAGCTGCTTATTTTTTTCCTAATCTTTAGAGCTTAAATAACGGATTACTTAAACACATATACACAACACGACGAGGCAGCTGAATCACATGAATAGAAAATAATAATCACCATTAATGTTCACAACACTACTTATAACATGAAAAAAAAAACTACTACATAGATAACCTTTGCTAAACTCAATTTCTTGTTAAAGAAAATCACAAAAAATAAAAAGTAAATAAGAGATAAAACTAAACAGCACTCCCTTAAACTCTGTTGACATATCATCATCTAAGCCTTCTTCATCAACGCCATCATCATCTCCTCCTCCCTACAGCTTTGTTAGGTTCGACCTCTGAAAAAAACTGATAAGGAGGAGGCTATGAGTAGTTTGCCTGCAACAACAACAGAACCTTTATCTTACTAAGTGTGGTTGATTGCATCAATACTTTTCTCTATAATGTCCTAATGAGTGTCATATTTTCATTTAATTCTAATAAATTAAGATCATTGGATAGCTCTCATGTCTAGACCCAAAATACTAATTGAACATTTACACCTGTCACACAAACTAATGGTGATATTGCCTCTTCAACTAATCAAAATGCTGACCCAAAGATTGATCCAGATGAGACATAGTTCCTATGCTTATGTACTTGCTCAAATATAAGATGAGGTCTAGAGGAGGCTGAAGCAAGTAGTGAAACTGAAGCTAACTCCTTTGAGCTTTTGTAAGAGTGACTGTTATTTATTGTAATAATGTGAGTAGAAAAAATTTACTCCTCTCTTTTATCACCCAAAGCCCTCACATCCATATATAGAACATACTTGTTTATGGTTTTCCTAGAACTAGATAAATCTTCAAACTCCTTGCCACTCCAAAGTGTTACAACCTTGCATTCTCTATTTTTTTATTGCCTGGGAATGTCTCTTTGGGTCTAATACTCACTATGTTGGCTTCAATATTTCTAATTGTTATAACATAAATCTATAATCACTTTCCCCTTTATAACACTAAATTATCCAAATATAACTTTTTTTTCTTAAATTACTTATTTGAGATAAATTTTGGGGGCTAGATATATCTCAAGTTGGAACTATTAGTGATTGATTATTCTAATTATAATAGCTAGTTATTAAATAAATTATTTTGACCTACATGTTGAATTTTTTGGTTAAAACTGGGATGGTTTCTTCTACCAGGTTTGTAGGTGAAAAATAAACATTTTTTGGGTCGGGTACTAATTAGATATAAAGACTCCACATTAGCAATACAAGGTCACCTATGATTCCATAAGAATTCTTCTAACTTATAGTGATTTCAAGTATTTGATTCAAACCTAAATGTTTAATTTCTTTGACATTGATGCTACTTATAAACTCATAGTTGCTAAGATATCAATATCATTAACACATAGTATTTTTTTGGGGTTCACTCTTTCAGAAGGCCTCTAAAAGCTATTAATTATTTTTTGCTCAGTTAAACTATAATTTTTCTTAAAATATTTTGTCATTAATAACCCTTATTTCAATATCTATGATTTACCTTAAATATTTCACTATTTCATTAAAGAAAGTTTGGATAATGAACTAGTCAGGTGAGACATGGTGTAAGCATTTCCTTAGTAGATTCTTAAATCTCTTATAAATCTCATAAATATACTCCTCTTCTAACTAGATAAGGGTTTTAATGTTATTTCTAAGTTTGGTAGTCTTAGAGGGTAAGAAATACTTAGTTAATGATTTCTATGATAAATTTATTTTAAGTAGTCATAGATCTTGGGTGTAAAACATAAGCTAAATTTAAACCTTATCTCTTAAGAAAAATAAGAATTGTCTAGGTTTAATGTTATCATTAAAGTCGTCATTATACTTAAATGTAGCAAATATTTCAAAAAAAGTGGTTATGTAAAGGTTAGGGTTGATGCCCAAAATTGTTGCAAAATAATCAAACACCATGCAAAGTATACATGTTGATCAAGTAACATATAGATTATGAGTCCTCATATTGATCTCACGAGAAAAGATGTGAAAATATTTATAAAAGGGTAAGTTTTAGATAACTAAACCCTTAAGCCTAATTTGAAGGGTTAGTTTATAGAGATGAAAGGTTCTAAAATCCTAATGCATATGGAAGAACTAAATTAGGTTTTGTTGAAGCTTTTTCAAAGTTGAAAGGTTCATACTCATGTGACATTGATCTATTAGTCTTTGAATGTTTTCCTATTAAACCCACACTATTACTGAAAACCAGAGACATGTCCTCCTTAACCAAAAGTGTTAAAAACCATATTATTGTTAAAAGGACTTAATCTTGTAGCATTTTTCATGAACCCTCTAGTCCCCTATCTAGGTTGTAATTTCACAATGCTAATATGTCTACTCTACTAAGATATTAGGTGTTAAACTACATATTCTTCTAGAAGATGGTTAGAAGTCTTAGATCAAAAGAAATTTTAACATTCTATAAAGTCAGATTAAAAATAAATTAAGAATGAAAAATTAACACATCAAATTTAGAAATTCAAAAAAAGAAAATGCTTCTAGGAAACAACATTCAAAGAATAAAATGACAAGAAAACCACATGTCTTACATCATATGAGTATGAAAATGAGATTAACTACAATGCAGAAGGAAAGAAAATACAAAAATTATTATTCTCGTAACAAAATGGAAACAATGCAAGAAGTAAGAAAATTCAAACCCGAGCTAGTTGGTTCTTCCAATACACTGTGATCCTC